TTGGTGGTAATTTTTGACTGTGTAACTTTACAAACGGCAGCCCATATAGAACGTCAATTTTCTGTGCAGCGTCTCTTGTAGTTTATTTTACCTGGATCAATCAACAAACAGAAGGAGGACTTTTGAATAACGTTGATTTTCTGCTCAGTGTCTGCTAGTTATTTTAGCATACAGCAGTGGAGGAAGTCAATGAAGCCAGTCTGTGTTGATAAGGCTTCAAATTAAATTAAATTAGTCTGACAAAGCAGCAGCTCTCATTTCCAGTCGTCTCGTTCAGCTCGGTACTTCTCTCCTCTCAGTTGGGTTGTTTACAGCGAATGTGATTTCTGTTAGCTTCTTAGCTTAGCCTCCGTCACAGTGACACACACTTCAGCAGAGGCCACGCCTCCAGCAAGAATCACTTCTCGATAGCTGAGAGTCCAGACCCTCGTATGAAGTAAAGTGAAGGACAGGGTCTGGTTTTTACCAGGCTACCACCAGACCACATTTTAACCCAATGTGACTAGAAAAGTCTGAGTCGATTTTACATTTTAGCTAGGACAGCCATTTGTGAGTTTTGATTTGGACTCTGAACAACATGGAGCTCGTTCTGAGCCACCACTACAACACATTTCAGCTCAGTATGTCTTAATATGGCCAGAGTTATTGCAGTTTCAAATTAGCTCTGGTGGCCATCTTGAATTTCAATTTGGATTCAGAAAATCTCTAAATAAAAGCTGTAAAGTACAGAGATCTAAGGAGAATGTGCGACCATGAGTTCTAGCTCATGAGCCCTGAGATTCTGCAGGTTCCCCCTTTGAGCCAGGTTGGTTTGAAAAACTTTTCTCCCTGCATAAATTAAATCATTTGATATCTATTTTGTATTTACACAAGTTATTTTTAATATTTTTTGTTTGATGATTTGAAACCAGAACAACAAAAAAAGCTAAAACAAGAGAAATATGTAAGAGGTAGGGCTGCAACAATACATGTACCCGTATCGAACCGTATCGAACAGTGCTTTAGGTTCAATTCACTCTTGTATGGAACAATACAGATTTTTAACATTTATTTTATCAACTTGTCTTCTGAAGATGCTCTGTGTTGAAGGATCAGTGGATCTGTGTTCGACT